GGGGAAGGGGGAAGGAAGGGTAATCGATCAATCAATCAATCAATCAATCGACAGATAGATAGATAGGTAGGTAGGTAGGTAGGTAGGTAGCTTCATCTGCCAAGTCTTATTCCAATTCTAGTTTTGGGTGCTGTTTGTTCTCTCATTTTTCCTTTTTTTTTTTTTACTTTGGGTGATCTTTCTCCCTGGGACTCGATTCTTACCTGACTATACCTCTACACCCGGTATACAGAGAGAAGTAGTCTAAACGCGGAAGTAACAACTGGAAGGGGGTGGGGGAGGGGGGGGAAGGCGGTTCCATCCGTCCGCTCCGAGCTAAGCGAAGAACCAACGACGTCGATCGATTGCGCCTGCGCACCTTCAGCGATCCTTCCTGCTTGGGCCAACTCTGGCGAACCTGGACAGCAACAGGCAACAGGCAACAGGAGATACCGGTATTGAAGCGACCGGGCTTGTGCACAAGAAAGAAAAAGAAAAAAAAAATGGGTTACTTCAGAGCGGCTAGGCAGCCTCGCTATTACTGCAAGTAAAGCTTCAATTGACGCGAGGCGAGAAGAGGAGGAAATCAATCACAGATGGGCAACGGAAAGAGTCACGGGGTAATCTATCTACATACAGGCTAGACTCACTCGTCGGACCACCTTCTCGGAATGAATAGGGGCGATGAGTTGTTTCCCGAACCGTGCTTTCTTCGTAGGTCGTCGGGTGTTTTCATGGATGGATAGATGGATAGATGGATGGATAGGTTTTCTTGCACTGTGTATATGTATGTTTTTTAGAAGAAGAAGAAGAAGAAGAAGAAGAAAAAATAAAAAAAACTACTCGCGAGTAAATGAGTGATGTGATGTAGCTCTACCTTTGTAAAAAACCCCCGTCGCAAGGGACAGAGCGAGACTACCTAGCGCCCGAGTCCACGAAATCCATCGCAGCAAAACAAGTAAGTACCGACGACATATACGTCCAAACATCAACGTCCAAACACTAACGCCCAACCTATCAACACACACACACATCCCACCCTAAAAACCACCCAAGAGGTTGATGGTTGACCCCCATCTCGCTACCGTCCATCACCACCGCTACCACCACCACCACCACCTCCCTCAATACGCCGCAGCTCTCGGCGTCCAAGGCCGCCCCTGCGCATCGTACAACCCACAGGTATTGCAGCGCACATGCCCGCAGACAAAGCAAGACTCGATGACGTCGCCCGTGCGCGCGATGCGGATGTTGCGCCGCGTCTCGCCCAGGGCCTCCACGCACGGGGCGCCCTTCTCGTTGGGGTGCCCGTACTTGCCTTCCTTGTTGCAGCAGGTCCAGGTGCTGCACGTGGAGTAGTCCACGACTGGCTTCGGGCCGGCGCGGTGGGAGGCTGTGCTGGGCATGGGTTGGGTTGGTTTGGTTTGGTTGGATTGGATTGGGATTTGGGGGGGGGAGGGGGGGGGAAGGAGGGGATGGGCGGTCTCTGCGAGGTGTTGGATGTTAGATTTGAGGTATGGTCTTTTTTCTGTCTCTTCTTGTTTCTTTTATTTTTATATATATAGAGAGAGGGAGGGAGAGAGAGAGAGAGAGAGAGAGAGGGAGGGAGAGGTAAAGGGGAAAGGGGGAGTGGATGCCAGGGACAGCAAGGTAGATAGATAGATGTATCTACCGAAGATAGGAGCCTGGAGAGCAATCCGCTCCCGTGCTGTATCTCGAGAGCTCGGCGAAGGTGGTTCGACGAACGAATTACTCGAGAGCAAGCCTTTCCCGCGAGGAGGACGGAGATGATGTGCGTACGTACGTGCTGATCGTAATTGCTCGGGGCTGAGGAAGGAAGACTTGCGAAGAGATGTGTGAGTGAGGGCGTGTGTGTGTGGGTGATGAAGAAGAAGAAGAAGAAGGAAAGTCGTAATTCCAAGCCAGAAGGCGAGCCCTGATGTAGGCCAGCATTCTACTCATGAATAACCTTTCCCTGCAGGAGAGTTGCACTCGTCGAGAAGGCATGTCCTGAATCACAGTAGTTCGTGTGGGGTTCGAAGGATAGGTGTTATTCAACGTTAGGGAACGGAGGCGATGGGACCCCGATGCCACTTCCAAAAAGCTTTCGGTTCCGTCGCGGAACAGATGCCAGGAGCTTGAACTTCGTTAATATAGAATCACAGCACTGCGTTGAGGGTGTGGATCGAGAACTGACCTTGCAAGCCCCTACAGTCACAAAGATTAAGCGAGATCAAATAGGGGTCAGCGAATCGAACAGCACATGAGCACAAGTTTTTTGTAGAGCTCGTAATGCAATGGTATATCCTTCCATGAGATTTGGCTGTCTAGCCCACCATACCATCAACGCTGCTCTGGGTGCTACTACCAACGTCTTAGAGCCTACCGCTTCAACGTCTTCTGCTTCTCTGCATCCTTCACCAATTTCCGCCCGCTAACCATTAGCCCCTTCCTCTTCCTCACACCATCCATATACCTCTTCGCCACATTCTCCTTATCAGCCAGCTCTCCCAGATCCTCCAGATCGTCCTCCGTAAACGGAACCCAGAATGGATCTTCGTCGAGAATCTCGTAGCCTTGGAAGATAAGTTGCGGTGATGCGGCACCGGATGTGCGTTTGCGGATTTCGTCAGAGAAGCCGAAGGATTCGGCGACGGGGAGGAGGGATTGGATTGTGAAGAAGGGGGTACCTTCGTTCATGGCTTCGGATTGAACGCGGCCACGACGGCGGGTCAGGACGTCGTAGACGCGGCCCAGGACTTCGGCTGGGTTGTTGTTAAAATTGACGCATGGCAAAATGATTGGCTGTGGGGAAAGTGACTTACTACTTGCTTGAATCTCACAAGAGTACATTGCGAGAAGTAAGCGTGGACTCCAGTCTAAAAACCCTTGCTTGATGGCTTGTTGCACGGTCTTTATAACTTCGCCCGTGAGGCGGCCGAGTTTATCGCGTGCTGAGGACTCATCTTCTGCTGCAGGAGTGATCGTAACCTCCTCGAGGAACACGGCAATACCTTGGACTGGCTCATTACACATGGGCCCTTGAGCGGTGGCGAGTTGAAAGGCATAGCTTATCTTGTCGGAGAAGTCTCGTGCTTCTAAAGTATCGCCAATCGTCTGCTCCTTCTCAACTTCTGCTTCTCGGAGGCTGCGTGTGTTAGTTGAGACTCTGGGGCTTAGTATCATTGAGACTTACAATCGCCCACAAATACCATCCTTGGTTCTATCAATCAAGAGATTGGGTCCTGTTCTCCGTGGTCCGAACGCTGTGATTTGTTCCACTGCATTTGCCCAGATATCTCGCTGTCCCTTGACTCCTTCGAAAGTAGTCTGGAGCTCCTTCTTGAACTCGGCAAGTGACAATACCTTTTTGTTATCAAGCACATCGTCAACATCAACCTGTTCCGCACTTGTTGTCTCGCCATTCGCTGTTACGCTTTTCTCAACGGCTTCGCGGTCGGAATAAAGCCGCTTGATCGCACTCGAATTTTTTGACAGAAAGTTCGTCACTTCAGCTGGTAGAGGTCGTACAGTCAACCGAACAGAGACTTGCTTGGAAGCTGTTACAGCCACAACGGTACCTCTCCCCAATTCCTTGCTCGCAGGTGGTTTCATCTCCTCAGCACGTACGATTGTTTCCCGGTAAGGCACAATCGGCTCGCCAGCCTGGATCTCGCATCTGGCAAATCTCTCCCGTAGGTCCGTCAAGCAACGCTCTAGGTGCAACTCTCCAGCGGTCAGAAGGACGTGCTCACCACTCTCGAACTGTTCGTATTCGGCACAAGGGTCGCTCTGTACAAGCAATTTGAGCCCAGTGATCATCTTTTCCAGGTCTGCTGGGCTGACAGGCTCCAGAGCAACGCGAACAATTGGCTTCGAAGCCATATTTACGCCCGCGAGATTGACGCTACCTTCTAGTTGACTGCAGATGGTTCCCGACTTGAGAACATGGCCTTCCAATCCAGCAATACCGAAGACCACACCGGCTGGTACGGATGTCAAAGGCTCGAGACTACGTCCCATGAGCAGGTAGAGAGCAGTCACAGTGACTTTCTGAGGCTCGGGGGCATTGTGAGGATTCGCAGGTGTGAACTTCGGCGGTAGAACATAGACCGAGTCCCCAACTGAGAGTGTCCCGGAGTATATTCTTGCGAATCCAATGAGGTGCTCCCGGTCAGGTTTTGCCTCTTCGATATTAGATTCCTCGAGACTGGCCTCTCCGATTGCTTCTGTAATGCCACCCAGAGGGTCTTTTGTATCGCCATTTTCTAGAGCCTTCGCCTTCGCAATTTCTGCTCGTTTCCGGCGTCCCATCTCTCTTGCTTCTTCCGGACTCAATGCACCTCGGCGCTTATTTTCTGGGAGCTCGCTCTCTGGTATTGACACCATTTTACTGATGTAGGCCACGACTGGATCACTGTTGGAGCTTTTTGACTTGACCATAGCGTCACGGATGATTGGGTCAACAAACTTGGAGCCAGGAGAATCGTCGATGAGGGCAGGTAGTCTATCCGCTTGTGCTGTAGGTGGCGCTGGTAACGACTCTATTACAGAAACCAGCAATGCCGTTGATAGTGGAAGCCAGGCGCTAAACAGTGTAGTAAGGATAGCTCGAGGATCTCTTGAGCGTATGATATGCGGAGGAAGGGTAATATTCAACGACTTGGTAATTTTATCGGTCAAAACAGGATCACTAAAGTGTGACGCGTTAGAAGACACATTCTAGGCTGCTTAAGCATACCCACAGGGGAGAGAAGGAAATATACGCACCCCTTGCTCTTATCACCGCCGGTTGTAGCTGAGTATACAGCCCATATCTGATCAAGCACAAGTTGAACAAACATAGGCTTGAGATTTCTGCCCTTAAGATGCTTCTGCCCCAGAACCTTTTTCGTCTTGGGGTCCAGATAAAAGTCTCCCCAGAGTACTTTCTCCATAACATTTCTTTTGATTCCCAGCTTTTTCTCATATAAGCTGGCAAATTGTCTTACAGTAAATGCCCAGCCATCGATGGCACTGCTGAATATGACGTTGTTCTTTTCCGGCGCAAAATATATGTCCTCGTCATCTTTTTCTTCGAATGTGTTGTGAGATGATAACATACTCTCAGTGTCAATTGAAGTCGCATTTGTTCCATTCGCGGTATCCCGGTCCGTCTTCTCCTTCTCCTTTGCAGCAGCGGCAGCGATTCTCTCGTCGACTCTTTCTCTCCAGTTCAGGTCCTCCTCCATTCTCTCGCCTTGGAAAAATGACCCCAGCACGGCGTTAACTTGCTCCAGAATTTTGTTCAGATGTATGTAGGCCTCTCCAGGCGTCATCTTCAATTCCGTAATGAGACGATCCATCTTGTTAATGACCAGCAACGGCTTCATGTGTTCCACCCAGGTTTGCCGCAGCACAGTCACAGTCTGACTGCAAACTCCTTCCACAGAATCCACGAGTACTATGGCCCCGTCGCAGAGCCGAGACGCAGTCGAAACCTCGCTGCTGAAATCGATGTGCCCAGGAGAGTCTATTAAATTGATCAGGTATTCTCTTTGTTCTGGCGTCGCGTCCGGCGCAGATCTGCGAAGCATAGAGAAGAAGAGGGAGATGGCAGAGGACTCCATGGTAATCCCACGAGTCTGCTCATCGGGTCGCGAATCGAGGTATCGTATTTTGCCGGCCATTTTCGACGAGATGATGCCGTTCGTCGCAATGAGCGCGTCGGAAAGGGATGTCTTTCCATGATCCTAATGCGAACATTAGACGCCTTCGATAGTGACAAGATGCGCAAATGCTGAGACTTACGACGTGGGCTAAGATGCATATCTAGAATTCATATCAGCGCCAACGGACATATACTGTTACCCCTCCATCGCGGACTTACATTTCTGATGCCTTCCGGATTTTTCTGTAAAGCGACCAGCTTTTCTGGATTAACGACAGGCATATTGAAGGCTAGAGTTCTTACGCAGACAGAACAATGAAGAGAGAGAGTAGACAAGAAGGAAGCCCAGAAGGCCTGAAGTCGAGGTGGTGTTAAGCTGGAATTATTTTGGCGTCAGCCCGACTCTTGCACGAGTCAAAACTACCCCGCTACGCCACTACAGCACAAGTAAGTTCGGTCACATGACTATTTCCAAATCGACTAAAGTTTTCTTCCGCTCACCTTGCCCTGGCAGACTGACCATGATGAAATTTCTAGTGATACAATGGTGAAGTATTTTTACCTATCGTTCTAATATCAACCCTTTTTTATAGCAAAACAATCACAAGGATAGGAAAAAGTTGCACAAAACTCACCCGCTAGATTGATTCCTTTTGTCTTAAGGAGTATTCCTATGAGAAGTAGAGGTTAACAACTCGTAGGTCCAGGCCAAATCCTTGTCGACATCGAATAATATATACCGGTAATCGCTGCACCTCTATAAGAAATCGGATAGATAGGTACTCCATTCGACCGTCTAAATGCTACGTCAAAATAGAGTAATTAAGCGAGGTTGGAAAAGGGCTGCCGACATCATCAATGGAGAAGTGGTCGGTCTACTCTATCTGAAAGCCTAATCAAAGTAAATACAAGCATCGAGGGATCGAAACTTGATGTCCCTCGGAAGAATATAATATCAGGCATCTGAACATTGATATTCTATCGGTGGTACTGCTCCAATCTAGGATCTCGAAAGCTCCTGGTCGACGAGGCGCAAGACTTGCGCGAGTATCGAGACCGAGAGCAGCTACCGGGCACTATCTGAATGTTTCAAGACGGAAAAGTCTGACCTGCGAGCTTCGCAGGAGATCTTTCCACAAGCCTGATATCGGATGTTTGTTGATCTCTCCAGGACGCTAAGCGAGAAAGGGGAACCGCCTGTTCGCACGCCTCTCTCTGTAAAGGAATAGAGTATGATCCTTATCGTTTGCTCGGAATGGAAAGAATGATGTATGGCTATGAAACCAAGATAACTTCTGTGCGAAAGCCCTTCGTCTGTGGTGCGCCACCGATTTGGGTCGAGATGGGTCGAGTGATATTACATGCTGACTTGGCCGGAAAATGCCCGATGACAAGCTCTCTCACTCAGCCTCTACGTCTCAACTTCCATCCCAGGGCACAAAAACGCGAGTAATTCTATACACACATGATCAGTTCTCACATGCCCGGAAAGCAGCTACCCGCTACCTACTGCATCACGAATCTTCTCTCCGCGTCTCGAATGAATGCGTCTCCCTCGCTTCTCTGATATCACACGGTCGTATCGGAAACTCTGTGAGTGAAAAGAGACTTCTGACAAGGATAGATAGAGACTGGAGGTAGAGAAGGCAAATCCCAGGCTACGATGGTCTGTACGGGACAAGGCTCTCTACTCACACGGCTCCCCGGTATCCAGGGCGAGCGGAAGTCGCAAATAATAGCTGAGGGATCTTCACCGAGTACGAGTAGAAGCATATCCATGCCGTACCACCACAGTCGCACGAGCGCGCTCCTCTTCGCAGCGCGGGTCATCCCAATTCTCTCATTCAGCAGCCAGAGAGAGTGTCACCGATCCGCCATTCTTGGCCCAACACCGCTCCGGACGGCAGACCTCTTGTTTGCTGCCAAGCTCGGTCAAGATTTGCCCATATCCTGGCGGCGTGGATCGAATCCGGATGGCTATGCTTCGACATCGCTCCCTTCCGACCCTGCTGGGTACTTTCGGATGGCGGCTGTCCCAGCCTCACACCTCCGCACGACCAAGTGACCCGGCGCATGTACCAAGGCAGACCGCTCCAAGGCTCATCTCGATTGCTGGCGCATGTCGCCGCATACGTCCTCATCTCTGTGGGCTGGCCAGTACGCCCGACGCATAAGCGCAGCCCTACTACTCCTCGAGACCTCATTCCCATGTGCTGATGGCAACCTGGTGAAATTTCAACAGTATATATATATATATGTATAGCTGGCTACTCGAATCCTCATTTCTTGCGAAGCAGACGCTCCCTCCTCATTCAAGACGGTCTGTCTACTCGCGGAAGTTCCCCAGTATTAGACACCAGGCTCCGAGTCTCGCGCCGCCATCAAGAAAAATCCCACATGACCCAGCGCACAATCTTCCGTCACCCTCCAAGACCATCATCCATCACACTCCTCGCCAAGAGAACCATCATTCCCACACCCACACCCACACACACTCCCATCGCCATCACCTCCGCCCTTCCAACATGGCCCACTCGCACACCATGCTGTCCATCGCCCAGATCCTCGGCTTATTCTTCTGTGCCCATCACTTCTGGCCCAAAGGCACCACGTACAGAAAGGCCGGCGGGGACTGGGAGAAGAGCTATCGCAGGAGGCATGCCCAGGGACACTCCCGGTCGACTAAACGTGGGAGGAAGGACTCTGGGACCTCGAGTAATGACGAGCACGTGCCCAAGAGGAGGGGAGACGGGCGAAGAGAGAGACATCATGAGTACGAGGACGAGAGACGGCGGCATAGCAGGCACGCAAGCTCGAGATATTGAGGCCGGAGCAATGTCATCGACGAAGGAGAGAGACGGGTCCAATGAATGATAACGATGACGGTGATAACTGGGGGTTTATGCGAGTGGCGGACCGGGAGAAACTGGTGAAGTTGGATATCTGTTCGGTAGGCAATCTTACTGTCTCGATATATCAGTGACAAAGCCGTGTTCGATCTGGGCAATCAAGTCACCACTGATCTAGATCGGAAACAGTCTCTCGGTTTCCACTATCCAGATGAGTTCTCGAGAGGTCGCTCCCCCTTCCCCCCCTTCCGGCCTTCAAGCGTTGGCGTTGCAATGCATCCGCCCGGCGGGATGCGTACGTGACCATGTATTCTCCGACGTCACGCAAGTGCCGTGCGTGCAACGACTTGGGTCGGTTACCTCCGCCAGCAGTGTCACATCTGCTGGACCCGTTCGTTTCGTAGAACCAGGATATGCTTTTGTCTCTCGTTGCCTCAAGCGAGGTCCAATGGATGGATGTATGTACCCAGAGAGAAGAAGAAGCATTCGGTGAGGATGTGGATAGGGACATTGGGGACATTGCCGGCCCACGTCGGCAATGTTGATGCTCCCGCTGCATCTTGAGATCGAGAGTCGCCAAAGAATCCAGCCTGTGATACTTGGCTGAAGCAAGGGTGGATTGGCATGCCGGTGGTGGAGGCCTCGACGGAAGTTGAGCTGAGGCCGGTGAGCAAGTTGATGCATAAGGTAGGCTGAAGAGGTTGAGAGCATTGCCCGTAGTCAAGGGACTCGCGGGAGAGCTGGGTGAGCTTTGAGAACACTTTATATCCTGGCTCTGCTGCTCTTATACGCAGATGGTTCGTTCTCCTGCACATGATAGGGTCACTGTCTGGTCCGCCATACCAGCATTGGACGCTAAAAAAGCTCATGTACCCGGAGGAATAGCGGATTTGAAATCATTTCAAGCTGTCTCGTGTATCGTGTACGTCGATGGCTTTTGTGCAAGTGTATCCGAAACCTCGAACACAAACATATCACAAAAACCATCTCCGCTGCTGGCACCCACGTACCAAAAATGCAACCGCGTAAACTCCAAGGGAATTTTTTCCCGAGAAGCACACGTCTATAGTTTCTTCATAATATCATTGACTGCCTTCGCGGCGAACCTTTTCCTCTCCGCTTCCGGCATATCGGCCCCCAAATCTACACCAGTCAATCACCAAGCTCTCAACTCCCAGGCCAGCAAGAAACGTACCTCTAACAGCCTGCATCTTCAGCATCATAGCCTGTAAATCCTCCACGTCCTTATCACTCGGCTCCTCCGCATCACCACGGTCGTCCCCGCCACCAGAGATGCTGCCCGCATATATATCCATCTTCATCCCCCTCATCTCCTTCTCCATCTCCGCTTTATCAGCAGCACCGAGTCCGAACCCGATACTAGCAGCGTCGTCACTGTCATCCTCCTCTAAACCGTCAAGATCTATAGCATCTCCAAGCTCATCGCTCCCTTCCCAATCATTCGCCTCCAGAGCCTCTTTCAGACGATCCATACCCAAAGGCTCTGTTGACATCAGTTCAGTCAGTCCAAGCCACTTCCCCCAGATACCCTCCCTCTCAAACCAAAGACCCAGAGGGGAAAGGTTCACACACGTACCCGAATACTCATTCCGTCCCTTCGCTTCAAAATCCACAAACTCAAACCCATACTCCTGACAAACATCCTCCCACTCCTCGTGACTTTTCTCCAGATACGGAGTCGCGCTCTGCTTCATGCCCACCGCCAGACACACGCCCTCCCAACTCAACCCGCACCCCTCCTTGACGACCTCCCCCACGCCCTCAAGCAACGACTTGACCTCCTCGAGGCCAGCCTCGTCAACGGGTTTCTTGAAGCACACCACGAAAGCGCCAAGGACGGACAGCACTTCGCGAGCCTCGGGGGCGAGAAAGTCAGCTGACCAGGCGGGCGGGTCGGCGATCTCGTCAAGCCAGACGGGGATGCTGGCTGTGTAGTAGGCGGTGCTGATAGTGTGCGTATGTGAGCTGCCAGCGATGGTGTCGATCGTTAGGGTGGGCTGTGTGCCGGTCAAGCCTGTGAGCGTTAGAAGGTGATGGTGAGGATTGCTGATTGAGAAGATACTTTGGATGAGGTCTAGCAGGCCGTGGTCAGGGCGACTGACAGCCAGGATACGGCGGGGATGTGAAATCTCCATTTTGTGTGTTGTGTTTGCGTTTGATGGAGGAAACATCGCATCCAGGTGCTTTGGCTTTGAGGTTGGGAATATAGCACGTGATCTGACGTTTTGGACCTTACTGAGCCCGGCAGCTGTCCATCTCATGTCTCTCTAGTAGAAGATGGAGATGACCGTCCCGGTAGCATATACTCACAAACATTGCATAGATACGTGGTCTTGAAGTTTTCGCATTTTCCTCTATTTGGCCTACAACTCATAGTAGCCAACGCGCAACAAACTCATGCCTGGCTTTGCTTTTCCTCTAACGCCATAAAATGACCCAAGCCATTCATCTATCAATCATTTGCATCCCCTCCGCTCCCACCTTTCAGCCCCTAGGTGCACCGCGTCCGCTTGCTCTCGCCCTGCTGACCGTGGCTCTACCTCTGGCAAGACCAACACCTCGGCCCTTTACGCCCCTACTTCTGAACATCGGCGCGTTTCTGCAGCTCACGCGTTAGCCGGTTTTCCGTGATTGAAAGCATGAAGGAGGGATAGAAGCAGTAGAGCTGGGAGCAGGGACCATACCGAAGCATATCAGGCACAATAAAGAACCGCACATGCGATCCCCGAATATAGACCTGATCCAAGTGGCTGACCCGCCCATCGCGCGCCGTGACAGTGATATCCTTCAATTGCACATTCATATTGTCCTCAGCTATCACACCTTGAATCAGCCTCTATCCTTTGTGTTCAGCCTCGGGCGAGAATTTATGGGTTGGGCGAGGCAGAGGGAATGTACCTTCGAGCAGCTTGCCACGGTAGACCTGTCCAGATGTAATCTCCAGCGTTACGACATGGCCCTACGGTTTCTCATTAGCATGTATTCTCACGCCAATCCTTCCATTTTTCGGTACGCATAAGGCTGAAGCTCTGGAGATGCAGGGCGGGGTGTGCAGCGCATAGGAATAACGGACCTGCGCTTCGTTCAGCAGCTTGATGGGGATCCCGATCGTGCTCGTCATTTTATCCGCGGTGATCTTGCGCTCTGAGTTCGATTGTGAGGGGGGCGCGGTTCGTGGATTGGAGTTGGGGGGTGGTCGTCGCGAGGCCGAGAGCTGGTGGACCGCGTTTCTCGAAATGCGACGGGCACGCTAAGTGATTTGGAAGCTCTCACTAGCGCCATCCAATCTCGACTGCAATTCCCATGGATACCCACCTCACTCCACGACACCGTTGTTCACATCCCATCATGAACCGGAATCGACATTAAAGGTCCAATGGAGATGAACATCTCAGCTACTTTAAATGTCTTCCGGCTCCTGACAAGACCATCACTATGCCTCCCGCATGCTACAATCTCGACCTTCAACCAGCTGCCTGTTCCGCTGAACTCGGCATTTGGCAAGCATAAGGATGTAGATATTAGAGCTGTAGTGCTGGATAAAGATAACTGCTTTGCGGTACCGCACGAGAATGATGTTTATGGGGCTTATGAGGTATGCTCACTCTTTGCTTTTCGCTACTCATCCCTCTCTTGACACCAATTCGCATCTACATATCAAGTCATCAGTTGTGTTTCCTGTGTATATCGACATTTCCATCTCACTTTAATGCTTCATTCATCTCCAATGACCCATCGTGATTTGGGTTATTGTTCTCTACCAATCCATCTATCTATCTTACTTTAATCTTCCTCAAACCTTCCCTATAATGACTTCCCAATTTCCGAAGCACATCCTCAAACCCCCAACTTTCTCACCCCCCTCTGCCCCCTCCTGGAACCATACTCACACTCTCTTTCACAGAAAAAGTTCGCCCAGCTCCGCGCTGCCTACCCCAACCACCGGCTCCTAATCGTCTCTAACACGGCGGGATCCTCTTCGGACCCCTCCCTCTCCCTCTCCAGCGCCGTCCAGAAAAGCACCGGCGTCCACGTCCTCCCGCACAGCACCAAGAAGCCTGGGTGCGGCGAGGAGATCATGGCGTACTTCCGCGCGCACCCCGAGACGGGCGTCACGCGACCGGAGCACATCGCCGTGGTGGGCGACCGGCTAACGACCGACGTCGTGATGGCGAATCTGATGGGCGGGTACGCCGTCTGGGTGCGTGACGGGGTTGTGAAGAGGGAGGAGACGAGCGTGGTGGGTTTTGCTTCCTTCCCCCTTCCTCCCCTCGACTCTTTCGTCTGTTCTTTGGTGTGGAAACAAGACGTACGGGCTGTTGACATGGAAACCAGTTCGCGAGGATGGAGCAGCGCTTCGGCGACTTCCTCCTGAAGCGAGGATACGAAGCCCCAGATCCGGCTAGGAACCCATTCAATTCCTGATTCGGATCGAGGCGTCTTGCCTCTGGCATTGGGACGCGGAGAAAGGGAGGGGGCTCGCTAAGCACTCGGAGAGAGGGAGAGGGAGAGAGGGGGAGGGAGAGAGAGGGAGGGAGAGAGAGGGAGGGAGAGAGGGGAGGGAGAGAGAGGAGGAGAGAGAGGAGGAGAGAGGGGAGGAGAGAGGGAGGAGAGAGGGAGGAGAGAGAGGAGGAGAGAGAGGAGAGAGAGAGAGAGA